ATCTTCAGTAAATCTTGAGATTGTCAGAAATCCAGATAACGTTTGGAGGTGATCACGAAGTTCTCCAAACAGCCTCTCTTGGACAAAATGATCTCCATCTTCTCTTTGAATTAGTTCAATACATTCTAAGACATTATTAAAAAAAAGTCTAATGTCATTTTCATTGCTACTTACTCCCACAAAGGAAAACTGCACTAGACAAGAAAACGTGATAACCTTGAATAGGGTCATTCTATTTTTTCTCCTATTTAACTTAAGGTTATAAGCTGAAATCATGTTGCACATCTACTTCCTGGTTTGAAAGTGACTTCCTGTTTAAGAAAGAACTTCCCGTCAGTGAAAAACTGGATACTTCATTGAGAAAAATACATGCACATATGAGTGTCAAGTATGTACATATGTGAAAGTGACAAAATATGTATGTGAGTACATTGATTTATATGTGTGTGAGAGTGAAGATACATGTGTGTGAAAGGAGATATTAGCACCTTATTGTTTTAACAAAGATGCAACAAATGTGTATTTAGAATAATTAATGCTGAAATGCTGCTGCGGTTGGGAGATATACTGCTTTGGGAGGTCAAAGAAGAAGTTTGAGTAAATATCCCTCCACACCCAAGTGAAGAGGGTAAAGGTTGAACTCCAGAAGCACAGTTTGGTGGGGACACAGTCATTGGACTGGTGAAGTTCTCTGAAGATGCATATGAGGGTCTATCTTGTGGTAGAGATGAGGAGCGTAGCTGCCTTGCTGAACCAGTGATTTCCTCACAATTGTTGTCGCCACTGCTATAGCCTGCAATATCATCCTTGGAAAGACATGAGAAACATATCAGCATATATTTCAGATTTACTAAATGTCTACTGTAAACTGAATAGTACCTGGAAACACCAGATCTATATTTATTATACATCTAAGAATGACTTTATATGGTTTGACATGATACACTAATGAAAATATACTAAAGGTCAGAGCTAACTGACAAGATTTGACCTTAATGCATGCATGTGTATGCACCACTTATTGGTTATTATTACAGTGGGTTTAATATTATTCTGCAATTGAATTCAATTATTTAACATACCAGAATTGGCTTTGATGGTCTGATGTATAGGGCTTTTGATCTATATATTTTATGTATGAGATTTGCATCCAACTTCTGTCCGGCACGCAGTTTAGGTGAAGTCAGTCTGTTGCCACATGCCATCAGAAACTCCAAGCTGAAAAACAGCAGGTAAAATTGTAAAAGTTTCAAGAAAAAAAATAGGCCCAAACAAACTTTTTTGCACAAGACAGTGAAACTGATCAGTCATGTTCCATTTCCTCTTTTGAGATGGACACAACCGAATTTATAATAAATAAAAGAATAATTCATGCCAGAATAATTCATGGCACTGCTAATTTCAGTTAGTCATTTATAACCACAGTTTGGACATAATAAAAACAAATATTAGTCCTTACCTTACAAAGAGAATTTCTCCAAAGGCATCCCCTATTTGTTCAGTGACAGACAGTGCTCTGTCCCTGTTCATGTAACTGTTGCTTTGTGCAATGCCTGACGACAGCACTGCTCAATGGTTTTGGAAGAAGGATGACATCTTTGTTAAAAGTATCGTGATAATGTGTTTTGGCCCTACAAAACAAAGCAGACATGTTATTTTTGGATCCTTTAACATTGCACTAATACTAGTACATACTATTATTTGATTCATTAATAACAAGCTGATGGATAAACAACAACGAGACATAGAAGGCTGCCCAAACAGCAGACTGCAATAAAACTACTTTAAATTAGGCATTGTCAATATCTTTACAGGGTTACATTAGTTAAATTAGTAACCCTCTACTGTCATTTAGGAATGAAAAAAAAATTCTGTATTTCTGGTCTACATTCCATTAAACATACTGCATGTTCTGACAATATTTTGATATGGACTGACTGAACCTGCTACTGCTGACAACTCTTCACTTTAGCCACGCAAGCTAGAATTAACATCAGCTCCACAGTTTGACACAAACTAATGGCTGACTAAAATGGCCGATATCATATGGCCAGACTCTGGCTCAAATTTTCAACTGCCATAACAGGACTAAATTTAAATTCCAGAACACTCAAAATACCAAAAGTTGCAGTTAGCAGTTTTGGTTATCGTCAACATTGGTTGATTATGCTGTTAAAAGATATATTATAATCTACTGAAAGATAAAATATGATGGAGCTGGGAGAGTGTCAGCCATGTCTCTCCTCACCTGCTCTATAATGCTCTATAATCTTACACATACCTTGATTTGCCCTTAAGTCAACTTAACGTGAAGTTGAACTATTAACTGAAAATGATAATACCTTAACCACAGCTGTCGTTAGGTTATGTAGCTACCGCTAACGTTAGACACATTATTATGAGATTACCAACTTAACCTAAGAGTGACACAGAGAATCATTTACACCCATTTTATACAAACGTTACTCAAAAGTACAAAACAGCCTTCGATGTTTTCTGTCATTTGAAGATTGTTTAATTGCCTTTATTGTTTTTACTAAGGAGGATTTACGGGTTTTACGAACATGTAACATAGACATTGACTGCAGCCAAATTAGCAAACGAGCATTCGGGATTCAGTAACTTCCAGTTAAGTTACCATGTAACGCTACGTTTTTCTTACCTTTTCCTTTTCCTGGAGCCCCAGTTGCCAAAGTGTTGCTGTGTCTCATATCGTAAAGACTGCCGCAATCCTCCAGTGTGTCCTTGTGTAGCGCTAACGTTAGCTGCTCTGGCTGCGGGAGCGACTTGGGAGTTTCGAGGTCTGAAAAGTTCTCTCATCTCACTTTCCGCCGTGCTGTGAGAAACGTTAGGTCCTGATGAGCTTGTCCTCCGCTGCTCAAGGGACGAGGACAATGATGTGACTGTTTCAGATGATGATAAAATAGTTCTTAATACCCCAATGGCTTGCTGCAGTGCACGGGCCTCCTCTCTCCCTTCCATGTTAATCATGACCTGTACATGACCTCGCGCCAACTTCTCAGCCAATCACAGCGCGATAAAATGGCCTGCCTTCCGTTTCCACTATTGTCCTTCCGTTTCATGTATACTTTGTCTCACACACACATATATTCCTCTCACACACACATATATTCTTCTCACACACACATATATTCTTCTCACACACACATATATTTTCCTCTTACATACATATTTAAAAATATATGAATGTGAGAGAGAAAATATATGTATGTGAGAGTAAAAATATATGAATGTGTGAATGAAAATATATGTATGTGAGAGTGAAAATATATGAATGTGCGAGTGAAAATATATGTATGTGAGAGTAAAAATATATGAATGTGTGAATGAAAATATATGTATGTGAGAGTGAAAATATATGTATGTGAAAGAAGAATATATGTATGTGAGAGGGAATATATATGTATGTGAAAGAAGAATATATGTATGTGAGAGGGAATATATATGTATGTGAAAGAAGAATATATGTATGTGAGAGGGCCAGAATGAATAATGTCTTGTACGGCCCCTCATACGAATTGAACCTCATTTGTACTCTAACAATGTGGTTCAGATACAAAATCTCCAAAGACTGGGTGCATTGTGGTAAGTTTTTTTAAATCCCTTTTTAAAAATATGATCACTGGCTCTGTTTTATTTCATGTCTGAGTATTTCATGTTTAAGTGTCCACTGAAGATTAAGTTTTAGTCAGTTACTCACTTACTAGTAAAATGTTGCGTTAGCTTATCAGTTGAGTTGCTTAAACAGTTGCGCTTACGCACCTTAGTTCTATCTATTGAATTTTCCTCTATGGTTAGATAGTACTACATTGTATTTTAATAAACGAAACATCAGCTCACTTCAACTACTCCTGTCCGTGCAGTAAATTCAAATGTTGTGTAAATTTAAACCTCACTATCTAAGAAAATTATACACAAGGATCTTTGTGTTCACTGGCATTTTATATTTGGCGGCCATATAACAGAAACACTTAGTAATCAGTATTTTGCTTTGCCTACAGATTACTGTATTAGAATACTGTCTCTCTACACACGTGCACACACACAGTGACAAATACATGTGCACATTCAGTAATGCTGTATAATAACAAATTATATAATAATAATACTTTCGCGTATGTTTTGGACCTTCGTAAATCTGCTTCATAAACGTAGCTTACAGAGATGAGAGGAACACACTTATACAGAGTGTCTGTGGCTGTCTAGCCTGAATAAACATACTGCCCAAATGGTACAGCCGTCAAAGTTAGGCATATGTGTTCACTAACAACAGCTACACTTTGCAGCAATTACTTTACTGTCCATCAAGAAACTCTGTAAATCACAGAGTTGAGACGGAACGGCTGGAGGACATTAGAGAGAAAACCAGAAAACATTTTCTCCATAAAATATGATCAAGTTTCACCAGAATCAGTGACATAGCTGGTGTGTGACTGTTGGCTATGTTTGACTGAAAAATTACTTTCATACGTCATATTATTGGCAAATTATGCAGGTCAAAATGTGACTCAGTATTTTGGGGGGAAATGTGAGGGTTTTATAAACCTCGGGGGAAGCTACATTATTGTTACGGCCCTGGCCGTATTATTAGTATTATGTCATGGTATTGGGTTCGTCTGTGGTGTGTGTTGGTGTTTTTGTCCCTGTTCCTCTGCAGGAGTGTGCAGCCTGTCGATTGTCAGATCTTTGACGGCAACCCGTAGGTCAGCGCTGACTGGTCCATGCCGTGGGCTCGGCTGGTGGAGTGTCGCCTGCTGGTTGGTTCTCCCAGGGAGCCGCAACATCCGCCGGGGATTCAAAACGCCGCACCACACCGAAGCTCTTCGACAGAACCTTCAGCAGCAGAGTCCTTCTGTCCTCGGTTGTAGAGTGTGTGTTTTTGCGATAGCGTGAATTGTTAGGATCTTAGTAGATAGTGTTTTTGTATGATTGTGTTTAGTGAGTATCGTAAGGGTGAGCTGCCATTTTCTTTGTACTACTTTTCTCCTGTTTTTCATTAGGATAGGGAGTTAGGTTTAGTAACTGTATTTTATTTCTATTGCATAGGGATTAGTAAGGATTTTTGTTTAAGGAAGTTAGCCCTGTTTTGTTTGTTGTTTTGGCCTTGGTTCACCCTGAAGTTTGTTGTTTAGTCTTTGTTGCACTTTGTTTCACCTGTTTGTAAATAAATCACATCACTTGATTGTTAACACTGTGTTAGTTGTTCGTTTGGGAATCGGGGTAGGATTCTTGGTTCATTTTCATCACACATTTATGTGGCGCTCCTTCCCCCTAGACAGGGGCGTAACAATTATACAGATACAATCTTTTGGGCTTGGATAACACTGATTTATGACCATGGTGTTTCAAAATTTCTGGCAAGGGCTCTGTATTTTTTGTCGTAGGTATAGAACCAGATTGATTGATGATCTGGTCTTAGGATGGTGAGTATCACTTTTATATCCAAATATAAAAACTGTTACAAAAACACCACAGGAGCCACAGGAAATTATTTGTTGAGCTGTAATCTCACATATTTGTCATATGAAAGAGTCTTTACAGTTAACCACATCATAGGCTACTGTAGACATTTTGTTCCCCTCAGCTAATAGTTTTATGAATCCATGTAGTGTATTCTGAATTGCAGAGCTCGATGAATGCAGCTGCTTTTCTACATACATTGTCAGGATCACCAAGAAAAGAAATGACGCCATAAATCTTGTCTTCGTACACCACGCCTCCTCCAGAATCCCCCTGTGAGAGAGAAAGATAGTTAGTATGTAATATAATTATTTTGTAATTGAAGTACTTATATTCAAATGGTTGCAACTTTATTAAAAGTAGATTTATTATTTACAGGAGAGCACATATTTAACCCACATAACATATATCCACTCCAGGTGTTTGGCCACAGAACCAGTGTTGATACTGCTTGACTTGGTAGACCTTTGGGAAATGTGCCTGCAAGGTTTTGTTGAGGTTTTCACAGCTGACAACCTCAATGTCTGCACAGTGGAGAGTAGGGGATGAACTGGGTTCTAGAGAAGAAGAGAAAATCAACGTTTTTGAAATAAACTTGTTTGAAGAATTTATAATGAACATTTTGTTTTGTTAATGTATTTCATTTTATGCAGAACTGCATAAAAAACTGAACTTTCTCAGTCCACTGGCTAATGTATGTTTCTTTGTATGCAAATAATAATACAGTTTTAGTGCAACAGAGAAATTGATTTACTGTGCATAGTTCGTACAGTTACAGACTACGGTAAAATACAAATAATTAAAAAAAATTATGAAAAAACGTCAATACTTTATTCAATTATCAAAACTCATCTCACTTCTTTCTTTATTTGGGCCTCCAGTAGTGGCAGCGTGACCTGCGATCTCAACCCTGGAAAATAACAATTAACAACAACAAGTTGATTATGTTATATCGAAATAGCAACGCCATTTTCTTTAGTGGAACAAGTGCAACTCACATTTTAGGATAATATTCACAGTCAGGAAGAGCTACAGGTTGAATCTTAGTGGGCTCAGGTAGCTGCAGCAGCATGATATCATGGAACCTGTTGTCTTTGTCTGTATAGATCACTGGTTCTGCTGTGATTTGCACTTCTTGTGCTAGACCCCCTGGAAGCACAGCTAAACCTGCAAACATAGTTCTGTATGCAGGAAGAGGTTACATTAGAATACATTTATCTCTTTTATCTTTATTTTTTCTTCTCAAGAATACCAAAACATGGAGTGTATAACCCGCATATTAGTCTGTATATGTTTAGCATTTCGATGTTACAGTATTTTAAGCGTTACTTTTCTCACCTTCCTGGCTTCAAACAGTGAGCTGCAGTCAAAATCCACCGGTCACTGATCAGAGAGCCACCACACATGTTGGATGATCTACCAGCAGCAACTCCTTTAAGTTTGACGTGGTACTGGCGCTCACATGGTTGACCTCCAATGATTCTCTTCTGCAGATCCACCACTGTGCTTCCTGTGATGCCTGAAACAGACAGTCCTCAACTAGGTGACTGCAAGGTTTTACTCTGAAAACACCTTACATGCTCTTAGTAGAACAAAAAGAAGGGGATTCCCCATTAGGAGACCATGTGAGTGACACTGTTGGCTTTGAGGAAAGTGACTGAATTGCCTGTTTGTTTTCTCATGTACCTTGATAAACTTAGGATTTAGACTGTTTCTCTGTCCACTTTGAATGAAGTTATAATGTTACAATGAAATGTTAGGTAAAATTACCGTTTTTGTCAGTTGAGTCTGGGGGCGAGCAGAAGTGATATAACAGTTGTTTCTTGTCCAATAAAAGGTCTCTGTGGGGATCCTATTGATAATGTTGTCACATAACCTTCAGACCCGCCTTATGTTCCAAGGTTGTGAAAAATATAATAATGACTTTTTCCCATCCTTAATGCAACCAGAAATGAGAATCAATAAAACAAATTTTTTTTATCACAACCCTTTAATTTTTATTTTTCTTGTCCATTTCAATGGACATCAGGTCCAAACAGTTGTTAAAATACCAACATCATATGACAACATCATATCTATTTTTTGTCATATAATTGTCACATTGACATCACATGGAACATGAACCTGAACAGTTCAAATTATGTTTTTTTTGTAAGGCCCAAACAGTTTTAAAATATAATTTTATTTATTTTATTTTATTTTTTATTTTTGTTCTGCATTTGGAATATTCTCAACTGATTATCAACTCATTCTCTTGTTCTGATGTACTGTTTTTATAGTAATAAGGTCATTCATCAATACTGGCCAATTGAGTTCAATAACATGGCTTCTGACCCACTGTCCATTCTAATGGACAGTGATATTTGAAAAAAATCCTGTGTAAGAACTTGCACTGAAACATGTGATATTACACTTCTATTCACAAATTCCATCGTTCAATATTATATCAAAACTATGAAATCTTGGCACAAATATCTATAAATGTGAGTTAAACTGTTGAAAATGATCCTTGCCCTGCCATGCCTCTCTTCCGTGTGGTGGATTTCATCAACAAGCAAAGCTATACTGCCATTTGATTGGTTGTTAAACGTTCAATTCAATGGACTTGAGGGTTCAAGTGGTGTTAAATGTTGCAAAAAGTAAAAAAGAAGCCCCTGTCAAGTGATGTCCATTGTAATGGACCCAGGGTCTGAAGGGGTTCCTGTTAACTGTAAACCCAGCTTAAAGATGCCCTGTGGAGTTGTGTGTATCCTTTTGGTCTAACAAATGTGTAAAAACCAAAACATAATACAAGTTTAATATATAAAGTAACTTTACAAGTTGTGGGAGGGGCCTGGATCGGGCTATTGCTGCAATTTGAATAAAAACATATAAAGTAACTTTACACCATACAGACAAATGCACACATTGCTAGCAACAGGGGAATGGGGATTGATAAGCACAATAACAGTGTATGCAATGGATTAATTCAATTCAAAACTCATATTTAAAAGAATATTAACATATGGTATTTTTAAAGTAAGCATCAGAAGAGTAAAAGACAATGTAGATAACGTTTTTGAATACTCACTGACAGAAAGCAAAAGGAGAAGCAGAGGAGCCATCGATACCGTTGACGTCTAATGTTTGTCTTCCTGTTACAACAGTTAGCAATCTTTTGATGAAAGCTTATCAAGTCAACCCCATTGGCTGCAGTGCTCAACACATGTTTCAATCATTTACCAACCTTTCCTGCCAGTGCCCTCCATAAAGTGACAGCAGGGAAATTTTACTAAAATTAAACTATAACTTATGTAAATAATAAAATAGATTACTGCCCTGGCATGGAGATACATTTTACTTGTGTTTTATTTTATCAGGCATAAAGACACAGACAGACCAAGAGCTGCACTTGTGTAATTTGCAGGGCCATAGTCAGCTTGCGTAGTGAGAGTATAGGGAGGATCAAAATAAACTTAATTTGATTTCTGAATATACAGGGATCCATATTTTGGAGTACCTTTGCACAAATTGTTAACACTTTACAATGTTATCTCTCAGACAGCTTGCTTTGCTTTTGACTCTTCATCTTGACATGCAGATTGAACATGGTGATTTCAACAGTCACCCTCACAGCAGAAGTAAGAAGGGGAAGAAGTGTTTTGTATGCTTTAAGGATGGCAGCTTTGACTTTTGAATACTTCACATTAACACCCATTGATCGGATCACTCATTGAATACATGGCCTTTGTTGTGTTATGTAAAACCCCTGCTCTTATTCCCTCAAGGTCCATGTTATATTTCATAAACCTGCCAAACTCGAGCACTAAGCATTTCAGCAGCCAGCTGGCGAATATGCAGTATATTAGAAGAAGACGATACATTTTCATAAATTACTTAATTAGAATTCATTACAATAGACAGAAATCTGTATTAATGAGGTATCTTGGTGCACATTGTTTACAGTTAAGTTGAGAGCTTGTGTTGTTTTGTCTCTTCATCCTGACCTGCAGATTGAAGAATGAGATTTCACATGAAACTCACAAGGAAGACTAAGTAAAAACAGTCAAGTCACCCTCACAGCGGAAGTAAGAAGGGGAAGAAGTCTATAGAAAGAGAGTATTAGTATTATAGCAGTAGCGGCCATTATCCATGTGAAAACCCAAATTAAAGATGGTCAGAAAGTCAGAAGTCACTTGACCTTAGTCATTGTTTCACTTCAGATCCAGTGTTTGTGTCCATCCACCGTATATCCAGAGAATGGGCACCTATAATTTAATCAAATGGATGAATTTCTAGATAACAGGTCTTGCAGATAAATGGCTATATTATGAGAAATATAGAAACAAAATATAGCTGGAACAAAGATTGGGGTCCTAGCAGGTTGTGAGCATCCGGATGCTTGTCTTTTTTATTAATTGACACAAAAGCACTCGAAAACATAGAACATAATAGACCTTTTGCATAGCAGACGTTCAGACATGAGATAATTAAATATACACAGTGGTTATATTACAAACACATTCATGCACAGTGGTCACTACAGTGGACAGCTCTTCAAATGCTGTTTTCTTGTATATGCATGGGCTTTGATGGTGTAGTTGCACATCAACCACCACAGTATCAGTGCATCATCCCATACACTGCCACCCACTGGTCAGTCATTGTATGTGCAACACAACATTCTCAAAACCAGTATATCTGAGGTAAGAGCAGAAACACTGAGCAGCTCGGGAATATCAGAGCAGGAAAGCCCTGCAGGTAAAACAAAAAGAAATGAAGTATCATCTGTCATGATGCATTGCTGGCTGTATTTCAACTACAATTCATATAAATGCAACTTTGAGGATGTTTTTTGCTTTTTGATGGAAATCACTTAAATATACTATATGCTATAGTTATGACTAGAGTTGAGAAAGAAGGTGACATAAGAAGGAAGAGGAAAGGATGAGAAACAAGAGGAGATGGGAGAGGAGAGTTGAGGAGGAGGGGAGGAAAGAAGGAAAGGGACAGAGGAAGATACATATCATAGAAATATAGCACAAATACACAAACACAGGTGCACACGCAGTGTCAGTGGCTGTCCAGGCCAGTGGTGGACTCTGTTTATTTGAGGGGCAGGGGTGACAAAAAATAGAAAGGGCAAGCTGTGATGCATTTATGGTGAAACAGCTAGTCAGGGTTAGGAAGAGCACCCTAGAGGGCACTTTATCACACTTTCTCCACTGGAAAGGCTGTCCATGGTGAATAAACACAGCCTGAATGGTCCAGCCATCAAATTCAGGCAAATGGCATGGGTTTAAAATGAGATTTTGCTTTCTGTTCCATCTTTCAACCTTCACATCTGTGTTCCTTTCTTTTCTGTTGTATCCCATCAAAGAAGATCAAACTCCTGATCAACATTAGGGCGTTCAAGGAAGTTGTTTTTTTTTTTTTTTTGCTCTTTCGTTTAGGATTTATTGTATTTTGTCTTTTTTTTATTTTTTTATTTATTTTTTTATTTATGTTTACAGTTGGCTGAAATGTGAACCTTTACTAAACTACGTTGACTATGTGGATTCCTGACTGAAATGTCAGAAACAGGTCCAAGCACCGCGGAAAAAGGCTGCACTGATGAGAGGAAGCCATATAGCTCAGTTCATGGCCTATATTAACTAACTAGTCGATAACACCATTAACATCATAATTGCATTTGTGTGTGTGTGTGTGTGTGTGTGTGTGTGTGTGTGTGTGTGTGGTCCCATAGAGGGGGGTTGAGGTTGGACGCTGTTCTACCAGCTCTCTGAGCCCACAGACGGAGCTCTGACCGCGACAAGTCAGATTTAGACGAATGTAACCTCGTTTGGACTCTAACGATAAAACATCACCAGAGATTATGTAACGGTGGTAAGTGTTTCTTTCTTTTTTAAAATACGATCGCTGGCTCTGTTGTGTTTTCTGTCTTCAGTGCTGTCAGTAGGACTGTCCACCGAAGATTACACAGCAGGTGTTTTCCTGTCAGTTTACTTTAAAATATTTCCCTTTTGCTGTTGGCTTATCAGACAAAAGAGTATAGGTGAGGTAGTGATAGTTTGTTCATTAAGTTTTATTTCACTGCGTAATGATACATAATAATAAAAGGAACTTTATTTTTTGCACACGGTGGCTACACATGTCCAAATGTCAGTTTATAGGATCTTTGTAATGTCAATGTATAATTCGGGGTCATCTAACAGAAAGTAAAGTATTCTGTGTGTAGCTCATGTGGTCCTATATTTGCGCATAGGTATTGTTCTTTATCGGTAGGATAAGTTTTGATCACGACAACAGTTAACTCTCTCTTTCTCTCTCTCTCTCTCTCTGTTTCTCTCTGTTTCTCTCTCTCTCTGTCTCTCTCTCACGCACACACACATGCACATTTATATGGCACATATTGCTTTATCAAGGGCACAAAAAGTGCAGTCAGCCCGGTGTATGAGAGATGATCAGTCATTGTACCACCGACCACAGGAGAAAGGAGGACAGAGGAGATAGAGCTGGGAGAAAGTGGTCCCCATTATTAATCACAAGACTATTAAAGCTATTTGTAAATACATAGAATTAGGCTATAAGGAGATATCACATATTTTCTGCTGCACAAATGCGTTTTAGGTTGCGAGTTTGTTTTGTGAAATACTTGATACTTAAACTCTTTGTGCCTCTAAAAATCCTTCAGATGTAACAATCTAATGTCACAGCTCATGTCCACAATAGGGCTATATCTTGTGACAGGGGGTTGCAAGCAGTATTTCCATTGTGTGTGACTTTACTTCCATTACATTTTGAAGGCAAATATTTCACTTCACTGCACTACATTTATGTTGACAGCTTTGATCTCTAGACAGATTATTAACACAAAATATATTCAGCTAATAAATGATGATGTATTTTTATGGATTAATTAAAAACTCCACCTTTACCAGCTGCAACATTGCTGATGCTTACACATTAATGCATCAATGATCTTAATGTAATAATATAACGTATCTGACATGGGCCATTCTGCATAAGGGGAACGTTCAGTATATTTTAATGCTAATACTTTTTTTTTTACTTTTACTTAAGTAAAGTTTTAATGCAGCACCAAATCCCAAAGAGGTTATGGAACCACTGAAATGGAAGACCAGAGGAAGGAATGAAGAAATAGAAATAGAAAAAAAGGTTAACAAAAATGAGAGGAGACTAGTATACCGAGAAGGGGAAAGGAAAGGGCAGAGGAGAGAGGTTGACAAAAGTCTCGGACAGAGGAGAGGTGAGGAAGGAAGAGAGGAAATGAGTGGAAACAAGGACAGACTGGAGTTGAGAGTGGAGGTGGCATACTGTATAAAGAAGAGGGAAGGGGATGACTTGAGCAGAGAAAAAGAAAGGAAACATGAAGAGATGGGAGAGGAGAGGGAAATGGTTGTAAAATGATAAAACATTTTTAATAATGACTACAGTAAAACAGCCTACGGGCCTACCTGCCAAGAAACATACTTATCCAGTGGCTTAGTTTTTCTCTTCTTTTCATCAGATTGCACCTGTTAGAGAAGTCTGGCTAATGAAGAGCAGTCAAATGAATAAAATAATCGAACCTTTCAAGACCCGTCTTTCTGTCTCTCTGTGTGTCTCTCTATCTGTGTATGTGTCTGGGGAGCTTTTTGTTTAATTGGTAAACATCCACTGTAATGTAGCTTTTAAGGCTTTTTATTCTATTCTATTCATCTGGCCAATTTGGCCTGTAATTACATGCATTTGTTTGGACTACATGTGTACTGCACACTGTGTGGGAGGAGGAGTTAATTGTAGCTAACATTGTGTTTAGAAGAACTGTGACATTGCATGACAACACAACATACATACACTCAAACATACAAATATATTTCACCTTCATGAAAAATACACTTTTTTTTCTTTTTACCTCTTATCCCCCACTCAGGGTAAAAAGACTAATTTAAATGTGTGTGAGCACACCTCTTCATGTTTATCTTTGTGTGTACGCATATATACAGGATTTGGAAAAGGCAAACCACATTCAAAAATGTATCGTGAGTCCGTTTGTGTGAGCTTGTAGGAGTATTGATCAAACTCAGGCTAATCTGTGGGCTCTTGTCAGTCTTTGTAATGAAAAGTGTGGAGGCAGCGATGTGGCGGGGATGTAGACCTGATCCCACCCTGCAAATCCGTTAATTGAACAGCCGCAGAGGAAGCAGACTCCCGTGGGGAATAAGACTGATGGATCGCCAATTAGCTGATGGTGTATCTCTCTTCCACTTATAGTGTCTTGTTCTAAGGTGGAATCATTTGAAAAGAACAAAAACATTGTCAGTCATCTGTCAGCTAAATGACCAGTACATACACATAATTAGTCCATTGTATTCATGAAAAGAGCATCTTTGTTGGGACAAAATGCTGCTTGTTGCTCTGTTGCGAGGAAGATCCCTCTGTGTGCGTGTGTGTGTGCGTGTGTGTGTGTGTGTGGTGCCCTTTATGTGTCTTTGTAAAGGCATTAAGGTTATGTACTGTAATGCTTCTGTGATGTGATGGTGCTATTGAAATCACTTAGAAATAACTGTCCTGTGAGTATATTAAAAGCATCCTAATGCACATTTACTTTGATAATTCTCCGTCAAATTAGAAAAGTCACATACAGGTAAACAGCCTTTTTCTGTTGGTAATTTAGTATTTCCTGTCATACTAGTCAGTTTACAGTGTTATCAGTGCTATGGGAACATGTCATCTATTTAATATAAGGAAAGATGCTCTAATTCATTATGCGCCAGCCCCCAGGTAGATGCTGGTAAAATATGAAGTTGGCTGGTAGACTTCAGACTCAAAGTAATGATTTATTATTGAGGGGTTGGTTAAAGATAGTCATCTACATGTACATATATCTGTTTTTATTTAGTTTTTTTTAATAAAACAATCTCTGTGTGTCTGTGGCTTGAATGTGCATGTTGTCACTCCTTAAGAAAGGATGTGAAACGTGGAGAGGTGCAAAACCCTCACTACACCAAAGTGTGAAAAGGATACCAACGTCAGAGGAAGGTCCTTCAGGTGTTGATGAAGCCATCATTAACTTTATCATTCACGGTATGCACCCTCTCAGTTTTAAAACTCTTGTGCATCACCTACAACCCGATGTGATTGTAATAACTTGTGGTAGAGTGAAAAACAAAGTTAAGAAAATGATAGAAGAATGAAGAACAAGAATAATCTAAAGGTTACCATGACTGAGAGAGTTTGTCGCTCACACTACTGATTGCTGGACAGTCAGTAAGGTGTTTCATTGGTGTCACAGCACATTGCATAGAGCCTGATGCTTCGCTGCTCTAGTATGCAACCCACGGTGAATCCTGGTGACACTTCCCATTCTTCAGAGGTGGAGGACTTCTTTTCCAGCATCAAGCAGGGCAATGCTCAAGAAAACACCACGCAGCTAGAGATACCGTGGGTGCCCTGAAATCTTTTCCAGCAGTGTGCAATTTGTCACTGAAGTTCAACACTTCACTACCTGCCTCAGCTCACTGTGAGAGGCGTTTTCGCACTGCAGGACTGATTTTCAGCCCCAAAAGCGCATGCCTTGATTCAAAGAACTTTGAGAACCAGCATCTGCTGAGGCTGAAGGAAGGATTTGGTAGTATTAGGTTAAAAAAACATGGAACTAAAACAGCAAACCAAATTGTCAAAGCACACAGGCAGACAGTTGATTTCATAATGGATTTTTGTTCATTTGAGTCATTTTCTGGGGCTGGAAACTAACTTTGGTCTGGTTTCCTGAACATCCTGGTCTGATATAAACAGTATTTACTCTCAAGGAAAGAATAAATGTTACATCATGTTATTATCGGACACCAGCAGTATTTGAGTGCATGCTGTATATTGATGCAAATGCATAGATGTAGGAGAGTGTTTCAGGCTCCAGTGAATGCCTACACAAAATGTGCAGTAATGTATGGAGGTGGTGGTTTTATGTCCTGTGGCATCAGATATGGTTGATGTGTGAGGTGTGTGTGTGTGTGGGTATGGAGTTATCACTGTGCAAAGCATGTGAAGTAAAGGTGGAAAGATCTCTATTACAGTAATGTAAAGTCCTCCAGGCTCGGCATTAATGGCAGCTGTGAAATTAACGATGAGGGTGGAAAAGCACTTAACTGCTACAAAATGTTTGCTAAATGCAATGCAAATTCATTCTCGATGTCAAAAAAGGTCTCCAAAAGGGACCAACTTCTAATTACAAACCAGACAGAGTGTAAAAGAAACAATAGAAAAACCCTAAAATGCACTTATTGAAGGTAACAATAACGATTGGCTATCAGCAATCAGCATGGCTGACTAAATATTTACCAGACAAGTGTTTGTTTTAATGGTGACCTTGTTCTCTCTCAATCACTCCAGCAGATTATTTATACTAAACTGTGGCTCAAACAATTATGATGTTATTACACCGGCATCAATAGAGTTTTCAGTGAGGAGGAAGCAGCTCTTCACCCCCGGGATGAAGCATATAATCATGAAGAGGTCTCTCATACGCATAGAGTCAACAATACTGTCAGTATAACAGTAGGGCCGGCTTTCAGGAAATATAGCTGTTGAAATGTATTCAAAGGCTCATGGGGGGGGGGTTGTGAAATATGTATTTGTATGTGTTTGGCCTCCTCTATCTGTATGAGAGGTTCACCAGTGCCATAAATATGACCTGTATGTGTCATCTTTGTAAAATCACAGAGAGTTCCACTTAAAATAAATCCTTTTAACACATAACAAGGAGTTTTTAATTGGTTATGAAAAAAGTCTCAGTTTAATACTGATGCCTCTATATGAGCTACACAAACAAGACCATCAGCAAGTATAATGACTATTGCTATGTTGTTACTCTCAGCACCATAATGCCAGGTCAAATTAAATCTGATTCCCCTGGAAATCACACAAAACAAGGCGGTTGAATTATTGTTTTTGTCCATAAGTGTCATATTTAGCTCTGACACTTAAAAATCAAACGGCTCATACATTTCTGATAGCGGGGGTCCGAATGACCGTTCATTCACACTGATGGTTTATATCCTTGTTCGTTTATATCTCTAACTTTGTCTGTGTGGGGTTTTGTTGTTGGGCAGGTACAGCCAGTTCTCTGGAAATAGCTGCCTGTTGCAGCTGGATTAGGCTGATGGGAGTGAATACTTTACAGCTGAGCAGAACTGCCGGGGGGGGGAGGTTTATTCTTTCTGGGTTTGTTACAAGCAACACCTTTTACATCACACATCGTAATTTTAATTATTAGTATAAAAATAGTGGAGATTTAGCAGATTCATGGAGTTCTGGAGGAAGTGTCACAAGACTTAGAATAATAAGACCTTTGAAATGTTGAGGCATCCATTAAATTAGCTATTAGTTTAAAATGTATCTTTATGGCACCCACGCTGTTTGGGTAAGAATTGTTTAGTGTCATTATACTGATTTCCCACGGTCTGCTTTTTATTTTTTAACCAACGTTTTGGCTTTAGTTTCTAATTTAGTACAGTATGACACTAGCTTCTTCAGTTGTTTTTTTTTTTTTGTTTTTTTAGCTTTAACTCCAGTTTCTTCATATGTCTGTGATAAGAGAGTTCTGGCTGTACAAGAGACTAGCTAAAAGTCACCAGCGGGAGTGTTTGTGAAGGCAACATAAGAAAAACAATGTAACTGACTTCAACCATTATATAACATAAACCTAGTGACATTGAAGTTTGACTTACATGTCTAAACCCACAGGGTCTGCACTCAGTGGGTGCACAAAGGGAACAGTTTGCATATGCAAGCACAAATGCACATGTCACACACATAGACTCACACACAATGCTCAATAAATGTCACTGTTGCCTTTGTATGACTATGTAAAGAGCACCGTCTCCTCAATCAGTTCTCATTTTGACTCTCTTGTTTTGGCTCTGTCATTTGCTCTGTACAGACTTTTGGGGCTTGTCTTGACCTCTTGATCGCCATAGCAACAATTCCCAGGAAGGTTTTTTTAGATCCAACCATAGAAAGGCAAACAAAAGAAGTGATGCCTTCTGGGTAGACAGATTGTCAGTCTGCTCTTATTGTGTGTGTCAGAGATTAGAACAGCATGGTGTTGTGCTGCTCAACCTGGAAGGCGTGTGCTTGTGATTATGTGATCTTTGTGATGTGCGCTCTTGTCTTCAGTAGGACAGTTAGTGACATATGTACATTTTATGTAAAAAAAAAAAAAAAGTATAAAGCTTTTAAATGCACCTGTAAATCACACATGATTAAAAAAAGATATGAGCATGTTGTACACTCCAGCTGTATGTTCATGTACCCATTCAAGGTGGTAATTTCCCCCTTCCAGATTATACCAGCTGGTCCGGGGATTCAGGTCTTTTGGTGATAAACCTTTATCTCTTTCCTCCAGGCTGGCATTGTTATGATTTACGATCCGTAGAAATCCCCAGCTCGCTTTGCATTTTTAGATTTATTGCTAGCATTTTGTATATGTTCCTTTTTAATGCATATTTAATATGTTACAAAGTAGATTTTAATGTGGGTTTTTCTGTATTTTCACTGCAGCACTAAGGTCAAGCATGCTGTTTGAACATATGGTTTTAAATTCAACTTATTTTCTATAAATGTGGTAGTCAATGTATGTATACTATATGAGCCCTACGACTATGGGCTTTACCAAACATATACATAGTTTTTTTACACTGATCAGCCATAACATTTTGACCACTGACTGGTGAAGTGAATAACACTGATTATCTTGTTATCATGGCACCTGTCAGTGGGTGGGATATATTAGGCAGCAAGTGAACATTTTGTCCTCAATTTGATGTGTTAGAAGTAGGAAAAATGGGCAGCGTGAGGATTTGAGCGACTTTGACACGGGCTGATGACTGGGTCAGAGCATCTCCAAAACCGCAGCTCTTGTGGGCTGTTCCCAGTCTGCAGTGGTCCCTATCAAAAGTGGTCCAAGGAAGGAAAAGCGGTGAAGTGGAGATAGGGTCATGGGCAACCAACGCTCATTGATGCACATGTGGAGTGAAGGCTGCTGAAACAGTTAATGCTGGTTCTGGTGGTCATAATGGTACGGCTGATCGGTGTATGTAGTTGAGATTGGATTTTTTCAAAGCCCAGAAAGACTCAAAATAGACTTGATTGTATATTTACTAATTGTATTAATAAAATACTGTATATCAGTCATATTCTCAAAAGTGTAACATCCCACGTATCATTGTACAAGTCAATGCGATATGTACACAGACATATATGTGTCCTGTAACCATGACACTTGAATAAAAGGATTCATTAATCTGCTATACAAAATTCCATCAACCTTTTTAATTGATTTTCCTTTTTAGTATTGCAAAAAGTACACAAAGTGGTGTGCAGTTTTGACATGAAGTAGGGTTTAAAGGTCCAGTGTGTAACATTAAGGAGGATCTTTTGGCAAAATTGGAATTTAATATTCATATGATTTTTTTCATTAGTGTAAAATCACCTGAATAAAGGAATTGTGTGTTTTGATTACCTTAGAATGAAATTTTTATTTCCAGATGCCACAGTTCACCACATTGAACCACCATGTTTCTACAGTAGCTAGATGCCACTAAATCCTACACACTGGTCCTTTTAGTGTGAATAAGGCATGATGTGTGTTCGCTGGTTTTTCTGTCAAACTACCACAAGGACTAAAATAGTATATTTATTGGATGATGTGAGCTTGTGTTCTCACATATTCTTAAGCGTTAAGTGGCTCCAGTCATCTCACAGCTGCACAGCATATACTGCCCTCTGGCATTTACACTTAGTGATTGAGGCCATGGCCGCTGTCTACTGGCTGCTATGTTCAGCCTAGAAAGAAAATACACATTTCACAGGAGAAACGAGGAGGATTCACGTTTTTCAACAGGGATTATTTTGAGGTGGTTTAACTGAACACATTACCATATTCCCCTTTATTTGTTATATACGATATCTCTGACTCTATTTTTTCCCTGATCGTGCTTGTATCCCGCAGAACTGTAAATTATTCTTCCTTCCTTTTTCCCCCTTCTCTTGCTATCATCCTCACATCATCAGCATTAATGCATTTAAGTCAAGGTTGTGGAGGACATGCCTCTGTTATTTTTTCTCCATAGGTCAGTGCATTTTGTTCCTAACAGAGTACCAATTATTAGCCATCGCTGTGAGGGATGAGGGTGTGCCTGTGTGCAGCATGGCTGTTATTAAGAAGCCAGGATGGTTTCATAAAGAAGTCTTGTACTAATGGAACTAAATACGTTATGTTTTTGTTCCGGTGTAGGCTTGTTTTTGTTGTGACGGAAAGAAGGTTGTTAAGTTGATTAGTAGTTTAGTATTCTACAAGCCACTAGAGACTGGACCAAACTTTTGCGCCTATTTACTTTATTGGTGAGCGTTAGCTAATAATGTAATATCTATACCACTCTCACATCTGTGCATTAAAGATGGAGTTGGAGCCAGGAGACTATTAGCTTAGCTTAGCATAAAGACTGGTGAAAACGGCTAGTCTGGCTGTGTCCAAAGTAAAATTAAATTTGACTACCACCTCTCAATCTCACTAATTAACATTAGAACATGTTAAAATGTATTTTTATTTTTTCATTTTAGACACAAACAGAGATGTAGCTTAGCTTAGCTTTAGACGGACTTAATGTAGTGAAATTATTATTTAATGTACAATTAACCCATCCACTCAGCACTTTTTTTTGTCATTTTAAATATATTAAAAAGTGAGACGGCAGAAAATAAGGGTAGAGAAAGGGGAAAACATGGTAACAGTTTAGACATATTTTAGAACTTTGGACATAATCAGACTTCCTGTTTCCCACTGCTTTCTGTCTTTATGCTAAGCCAAGGTAACTGCCAGCCATGCAAGGGGCTAACTCAAAAAAGTTATTAGAAAATATTTCAGAAAATGTCATTAATTAATGGATCGTGTAAAGGAGTTTAGAGCGCTTTTGTGTATAAAATGTGCTAAACTGACTAACGTTTCTTTTCCTTTCAGGGTCGTTGACCTCTCACTGATGGGATCTTATCGACTTCTGTTGCCTCACATTCCTTAACGCCTCCATGGATCTCATCCAGGCCACCCAGGTTTCCTTGCTGCCTCAGGAGGCTCCTATAGCTACCTGGAGCAACAACTCCATTCACCCCTTCTCAAATGTCCTGCTCCTGTCCACTCCTTCTGAACCACTTCTCGACTTCACCCCGAGTGACGGCTGTTTCCTCTTAAACAGCAGCTGTCAGAACGCCACCGCACCAACACCTGGATCACTCCCTGGCTTGGCTGGAATCTTCATCCCTCTTATTTACGGGATAGTGTGTGTTGTTGGTCTTGTGGGCAACACCCTGGTCATCCACGTTATTGTTAACTACACCAAAAATGAGTCAGTCACCAACATCTACATCCTCAACTTAGCCATTGCAGACGAGCTCTTCATGCTGGGCCTGCCCTTCTTGGCGGTACAGAACGCTCTGCTTTCCTGGCCCTTTGGCTCTCTAATGTGCCGTGTGGTCATGACAGTGGATGCTATCAACCAGTTTACCAGCATATTCTGTCTGACTGTGATGTCGGTGGACCGCTACCTGGCTGTGGTGCACCCCATCCGCTCCTTTTGGTGGCGTCGTCCCCGTGTAGCCAAGGCCATCAGTGCCACAGTTTGGGCAGGGTCCATTGTGGTGGTGCTGCCGGTGGTGGTGTTTGCTGACGTGCTGAAGGATGATGGGAACTGCAGCATTGTGTGGCCTGAGCCAGCTGAAGTGTGGAAGACGTCTTTCATCGTGTACACATGCACTGTGGGCTTCTTCTGCCCCTTGCTGGTTATCTGCTTGTGCTACCTGCTGATCGTCATCAAGGTACTGCAATTACAGCACAACAACACAACACATAATGTATACATTTAAACGTTATCCTCAGTGTTACTTAACATAGAAACAGGAGCTGCTGGATTATGTACTGATCATATTTATTTTTACCACCACTTTGAATTAATTCAAATTATTTTCTGAGCGATCAAGTTTTTCCAGGCATTTGAGACAGCTAAAACTAACTAATAAGTAAATATACCAAATATCAAATACCCATAAGCCTTGGCCCCCTTTGCTATGGAGAAGGGCCGGGTCAGAGGTGCAATTTGCAAATTCTGAACATTTTGTCATTGAATTTGTGAATCTGAATTAATCCAAAATTGCCCCAAAATCCCAAAGTAAACCCTTGTATCTTAATTTTTCTCAACACCGTACCCTTTAACTTCTGTCTGCCATTAAGCAGTGCACGTCACAGAATATTTTCATTTCAAAATGTTCGGCATTCTCGGCATTCGCAATTACCTTCTCCCCTGTGTGTCTTGTACCTTGTAACTTTCCATCAAAGAACCAGATATTTTCTAACAGGGTTCTTAATCTTGATGATTTCACCAGGAGAGTTTTATGTCTGTCAGCTACCCCAACTGTGAGTCATGTAACATTTTCTATGGGAAAAATAAATTGGACTTTGACTTCCAAAACCACAGATGCCTGTAATCACTCTTTCCACTTTGCAAAACTATTTGCAATACATATTTAAGATTTGTTTCTATATACACAAAGAAATCCCTCTAAATAAAGCTGTAGTGCAGGGAAGCAGGTTTAATCACAAACTGCACAAACACATTGGTACACACTGTCCTCACTACTGGACAGTTCTCTGTTGATATCACTGTTATTACTATGTTGGAGGACACTGTACCACAAGTACACTGTGGCAAGATTCTGATGAAGAAAACATTTTCTTGTGTGTGTGTTTAAATAAGAAAGCTAAAAGTTCTTTATCTTTTCTTTGAAAGGTGCGCAGTGTTGGAAAACGAGCACAGGCCACGTCCTCTCGGCGCAGGAAGTCGGAACGTAAAATCACCCGGATGGTGGTTGTCGTGGTGGCAGTGTTTGTCCTTTGCTGGCTACCGTTCTATGCTCTGAATATCGTCAACCTCCTGGTGGTCTTGCCCGGGGACTTCAGGGGGCTCTACGTTTTTGTTGTTGTGCTGTCATATGCGAACAGCTGTGCCAACCCCATTCTGTACGGATTTCTGTCTGACAACTTCAAGAGAGGCTTCAGGAAGGCCCTGTGTGGCACTTCACGTAGGGTGAAGAACAACGACAGGGCCGGCACTGAGGTACAGCGACCTACCGAGGAGTGGGGTGGCATTGGGCTCCGAGCACAAAAAAGTGAAGGAGTCATCAGTGTGCAGAAGAAAGATTGTGGCGAAAACGAGGAAGAGGAGGAAATCAATGGAATGGAAGGGGCCATACAGATGAGTGAAATATGCAAAAGCTCACAAAATGGAAACCACAGTGGAGTAACAGAGGACGCGAGGACACAGGTGGCGCAGAGGGGTAAGCCTGAGCCGGATCACTGTGGTCCGAGTGCCAAAAATGGAGAACTGGCAGGGAAAGGCCCAGGCTCTGATCCTGCTGAGGCAGTGTCCTCTATGGCCAGTAAAAATAGAAACAGCGTGTTACAACCTGAAGAAATCCCAGACAAACACTCTGTGCTTGAAATCAGCTATCTGTAATATGTTAGCATGTTTTCAGTGGAGATTCAGTCAGTGCCATTTGAAGTATTTCTCACAGATATTTAAAATGTCTGTAAATATTACAAACAGCTGTGGATAACAGGTAACAGGCTCAGTGTTAGATTATGTGGAGTGACTATTTTATAATGTGCAAATCTTTGAAGTTTGGGGTTCAGTTCATGTTCAGTCTGAACATATCAATGCTTGTTTTTGCCATGGTGTAAAAAATATTATTTTTACAAAATATAAAAACAGGCATGATGGACTGGAACCAATCGAGAGGTGGGAAGAACAAATCTAAATATTTAAAAAACTTGAACATACTTGAACCAAATCCTTGGGAATGTCTGACAGTATTATGGAGACAAGTTGAAACACTGCTATGGTCATTCTTCTTGATATTTGGTAGATTTCTAACTCTAAAAGTGGGACTTTTTTGCCAACTGCTATGGTATGACCCCTTTAAACTATAAACACCCAGATTTTAAAATGTGTTTTCTATATTTATTTACTGCTGTCATGTTTACAAATACCTTTTCGCCTTTTTTTTTTTTAAATCAGGAACATCTTGGTCTGAAATGGCTAATGCACTGTATGAATCATATCCCAGTGGGGGATGACACAACACATGATCATTGTAAAATGAAAAATGTCAATTATGTTTTACCTTTTACTTTGGCTTTTGAAAACAATGTAAATTGTGCTGTTTTACAATCCAGTAGTGGGCAGTACTGGAACCACTGCCATAAAACTCAACACAAGAAGAAGAAATAATTGCACTGTTTTCAGAATCACATGAACACAACTTGCTTTAGCTTACTACCCGAGATGTGCAATACCAACACATAAAAATAGTGCCAGACTACTTTCTACATAGGTGTGTAGAAAAGATATATTTATGTTTGTATTTATTTATTAAATCATCTTAAAGGTCCATTGTGTAACATTTAGGATGATCTATTGGCAGAAATGGAATATAATATTCATAGGTATGTTTTCATTAATGACTAATTACCTGAAAATAAACTCCTTGTGCTTTTGTCACTTTGAAATGAGCCGTTTATATCTAAAGAGGGAGCGGTCCTCTTCCATGGAGACCTGCCAGGTTGAAGTGCCATGTAGTATGAATGTATAAACCATAAGAAAACAACTTATAACTTATGTCATCCTTGAACGTTGGTGTGTCAGGTGTGTCATTTTTAGTAAAGATCTTTGAAGATGCTCTGCTTTATACGTATAGTTACACACTGTGTTGTTGATAAAGTTTTTCTGTTATGTGGTTGAAATTGTAGGGGTGTGTTTTGTAGTGTATTGTGAACTCATGTCTTCTTTATGGCTCACAGATTTAAGTCAAATCCCAGATCAGCGGGTTATATTAAAAGGGCAACTTGCCACATAATTGCTTTTTGTCAGTTTATTGTCTATGATCACAACAAGTGCATTAAAATGTTGTATTATCCGCAGTGTTGTCAGTACTAAAACTAAGTGTAATGTGGTGAGAGTGGCCTAAATAAATGTTTACACATAATATTGCTATGTAGATATTTTTGTCCCATAATAAAACTTGGTGTTGTACGCAATCATGTCACTTGAAATACGTCATAGTTTGTACATGTATACAGTATGTAATATATATACATGACATGTTTGTCATTATGACCTCAGCTTTACTGTATGTTGTTCCCAAAGAAAGACTTAAAACCAATAAAAAAAAAATGCTCCACTTTATTGCAAAAATGCTTCTTTTACAAAACAACCACTAATATAACTGATGTCTGTTAGTGGCAGCTTCCAACAAGACACAACTGTAGCACAGTTTATTCTGCACCTGCTTAACTTTGAAAATTAAAGACCAAGGCTGCCCTCTAGTGGTAAACAAGTGTTAAATGATGGCTGGAACAAACAAAAAAGGAACAATTCTAATCATTTCATAACACCCAGTGTGTAACTTTATGGCCACTTTGTCTCGTATGTCTTGGTTTTATGCAGCTGGTCATAGCATTACAGATTTGTATAGTGTCTTGAGTGTGTCTAAGCAGTGGATGTGTCTTTGAGGGAAATAGTAAGGGTAATTTCACATGTTCTCAGATCAGTTTTTACATCCATCCAGCAATCAGTTGATCCACTCGTCCACCAGTCCATCCTTACTCAGGGACAACGTCTCCTATCCACTTGAGGTAGGGCGGGTTGCCCTGGTCAATAGGCAGGCTGATGACCTCGGCCACTTCATAAGGATGGTTAGAGCTGCAGAAGACAATGAGCGTTCATGAGTCAACTGAGGGCGGTAAAATAAAAATGGCAGTAATTAAAGCCGTACTCTTTGACTGCATGAGTCATGGCAGGTAATGGAGCAAATGATCAAAACAGCGTTCCGGTGAGAGAGTTAGGTTGGAGCGAGAGGTTTTCTTGGAGTTTAAAAATAAACTTACCGGACATATTCAGCAAGAGCCGGCACTTTGGAGCTTCTGGTTTTAATCATCTACACAAGAGAGAGACACTGGGTCAGCGCGACCGACCTCATCAGACATGAGGATTTTATCATGTGCAGTTCTTTTCTTAAATACTGAAAAACAAACTATTCTGAGTCCCTCTCTCACCCAATACAATAATGGAAGTGGAAGTCTTTCACAACCCCCCCCCTGCTCAATCGCCTCTATAAGTAATGCAGGCAATGAAAGAACACAAGCTGATATTGGGCACAGTTCAACACGCCTGCCTTTCTCAGTTCTCGAAAAACATAATTATCATGTAGCCTGACTGACTCGAAAATGTGCCGCCCTCCGCCCAGCGCATAGGTTTTAAAGATGTGACACAGCGGACGACAGCCATGAGGGGGATCTGAAATTAGGGATAATCCATCTATAATTTTCTTACATCAAAACATTTGATGTTGCAAAAGGTAAATAACCCGCCTGGACATCACTGATTGAGGCTGAGTCAGAAATTCACCACTGTGGAAAGTCACAACCCACACAGAGCAGTACCGCCGTTCATGTCTGTCTCTGCAGGCACATTCAGGACTTCTGTTTCAATCATTTCCAAGTTTATGACACTCAATGTGTAGAAGCCACATATTTGCAACTACAACCTGGCTCACAGCTTCAGTGCTGACTCATTCCAACAGTGACTAAATAAAGCGGGAGATGCCAGATTCTCCACTGAATCTTGTTTTACACGGTTTTGTTTACATGTGTTGTCTATTTCTGTCATAATCCAAGACGCTCAATAACTATTGGCTCTTCTCTGTTTTTTTGTTTCAGTTTACTGGCAGTGGAAAACTAAACATTCAGACTTGATTATTTTATGTTATTCTATTATTTCTAAAACTGTTTAATTATATGTGAAATAAACGAATAGAAAGTTCTTTCATCAAACTATCCTGAAGAATTTGTAATGAGGTAAGTTAATAAGCGGTACTGTACAGAAGTAACAGTAATGATTACAGATGCAGCTATAGAAATAATAGTATTTATTAAGTGATAGTAGCACACAGTGATTGTAATTTTTTGATTTAAAGTAAAATGTCATGTAACAAATTGGTCAACACTCACCAGCAGAACCTCGTTGTCCTCTTCAATCTTACCCTGCCATTCATATCTGGGGGAACCAGACAAAATAAGAAATTTGTCATCTAGTAAATCCCAAGGAGTCATCAGAACAAAATAATTGTATTCAAATGCTGTCTAAGAAAAACTCTTCATTCATGACCTGTCTTTTAGCAAACACACCATTTACATATTGAAAACACAGATAACTCAAAGCCCTCTCAAAACGTACACAGATTGGATCGCTGGGACAATGTTGACGCACGCAGCTAGCTTCCTTTCCACAATGCCTCTGTGAAACAAAAGGAATGAATCAGACACAAATTAATATGCGCCAAAGTTAACTGAATGACAGAAATGAAAATCTATGTTTCTCTTGCTGGGTGATGAAGTACAGGAGCTAAAACTGCTTTCCTGTGTGGATCACCTCGCCAGGTCTTTAGCCACTGTGTCATTAGGACAAGTGACGAAGGCCGCAGAGTGTGTGCCAGACGTGTACGTCTCAGATGCCATGGAAAACGCCCTCAGTCCAACAGTCCTCAGCAGCTGGAACATAAACGCACTCAGGAGCACCGTCTGGGAGGAGAAACACAGGAGGAGGAAGAGGATGAAACCCAACCACAATACACGACAGCAAGGCACGGAGCTCAACAAATCATCACCAGGTGACTGCGTCCTGTTAGAGATGTCTATGTGCAGCATCAAGCAAACACACACTCACCACAACCAAAGCTTTCAAGGATCCACCTTGCAGTGTCTCTGCACTGGGCAGTCCAATGCGCATTGCCTAAGAGTCAACAGATTCACACACACATCATTACTGCCCACTGGTTAATGTGCACTCAGAGGTTGTTTTACTTTAACTTTGCTCAACAGGGTATCTCCATACCAAGTTAACACAGAAGGAATACAAAGAGAACCCTGCTATACACAGCTGTACTGACTGTACACAGCTGTACTGACTGTACACAGCTGTACTGACTGTACACAGCTGTACTGACTGTACACAGCTGTACTGACTGTATACAGCTGTACTGACTGTACACAGCTGTACTGACTGTACACAGCTGTACTGACTGACTGTACACAGCTGTACTGACTGACTGTATACAGCTGTACTGACTGACTGTACACAGCTGTACTGACTGTACACAGCTGTACTGACTGACTGTATACAGCTGTACTGACTGTACACAGCTGTACTGACTGTACACAGCTGTACTGACTGACTGTATACAGCTGTACTGACTGTACACAGCTGTACTGACTGGCTGTACACAGCTGTACTGACTGTACACAGCTGTACTGACTGTACACAGCTGTACTGGCTGTACACAGCTGTACTGACTGTACACAGCTGTACTGACTGTACACAGCTGTACTGACTGACTGTATACAGCTGTACTGACTGTACACAGCTGTACTGACTGACTGTACACAGCTGTACTGACTGACTGTACACAGCTGTACTGACTGTACACAGCTGTACTGACTGACTGTATACAGCTGTACTGACAGTACACAGCTGTACTGACTGTATACAGCTGTACTGACTGACTGTACACAGCTGTACTGACTGTACACAGCTGTACTGACTGACTGTACACAGCTGTACTGACTGTACACAGCTGTACTGAGGCAATGTGTGTATGAAGTCAGTCTTTACCTTATTGCACAAGATAAACAAGCTGCAGGAAGCAGGCAGGCATTTAACGGAATAATAATAACGGAAATGTAACTTTTCTTTTTTACGAACAAACTCTAAATCTCAACTTATCGGTGACATGCAGACGAGGTGTGTTTAGCCAGCTAGCTGTTAGCAGTAGGGTTAGTTATTGTTAGTCGGGGGCAAAAGCAGAGGCGAGTTTATGAAATGGCGACAGTGCGATACGAGCTGAAAGGTCAGACACTTTGGTGGAAACCGATCCGAGCGGAAAACAACACAACCGGGTGGTTTAGTTACCTTCTGACAGCTGCCCGGGGTTTACCGTAAAGCGTGACGGCTGTATGTTTGTGAAACTGTCGTAAATCAGCCCCGCCCTGGCTGTTAAAAGCAAACGAAGGTGACCAATGTTCCTCTTAAACAACCTGACTGTAAAGCTTATTCATGTTCTTTTCATTATCCTAAGTGTTCTGTAGATAAACAAATAAATTAATAATATATGAAGGGTGTCAATTGTTTTAGTCTAACAACAATAATAAACCACAGTTTTATATTTGATCTTTCAGTAATACTCATATTCATATGCAAACGCTTGATGACTATCTTCTTCAGTTCACTTTTGTAAAGTACATGCGTTTTGCTGTTTCAGCTGTATTTTACTGAGGTGATTGTAAGGTGGAAACGTTCCCAGAACTGGCCTGGCATTGATAGTTTTGGTATGTTTTACTTATTCTCCACTAAGAAACTAGAGGGCGGCAAAGTGCAGGGCAATCCATTCAAAATGAATTGTTATTCATTGCAATACGGTAGTAGATCTAAGGAGGGCCCTCCTAGAGCATCCCTGCATTGCTGGCTCAGTGTGGAGAGGTAGGGGTTAGATTCCAGTGCCACATAACTGAATACACACAGATACTGTAAGCATCATTTATTACGCTATTTTCTTTTATTTATTTAATGCTAGATGTGACTTTAATCAACTAATTAATGGAGAAATGGTTAAAAATCCTTCCAAACCACTGCTTATCATTTTGGCATTCACTGTACGACTTTAAATGCTCATGCAGAACTCAGCAGTGTGAAACAGATACCAATAATAGTGTGCACATACAATCTATGGCACACAGATTTCCCACCAACACTTTAGAGTTATTAAACATGCAGTGGCGGTGGATTGCCGTATGATGGCAGCTTTTGTACAGCAGACAAGACAAGAATATGCTTTATGATTAGCTTTGGTACCAGCAATGACTGTGATTGTCTGTGTGCACACAAATTATGCTTTACCTGTGTATGTTTGTGTGTGTGTGTGTGTGTGTGTGTGTGTGTGTGTGTGTGCGCACAGAAGGCCACTCTGTCTGATAATATCCACCACCTCCCTCACACTCTCCTCTCTTCGCCCTCATCCTTGATTAAAGAATGAGACAAACATGTCACGCACTAATATGCAAAACAACACACACACACACACACACACACACACACACACACACACACACACACACGCACTTAGAGGCTGTGACACGTGCACTCAGGACAAGATAGATTGAGCTGTAGCTGATGTGAGAGCTCTACCAGGAATGCATGGACACACATAAAGACGCAGCGAGACGTATTAGCGGAGCTTGTCAAGCTTTTGCAAGAGCAATGAGGAGCGATGGAAGGAGGAGGGATATGTTGGTGGATGGTGGAAGTGTGTGTGTGTGTGTGGGGGGGGGGGGGGGATCTTGTTCCCATGGAAACTGTGCAGTCAGCACATCTGTACGTGTTATGCGCTGTCCTCTCTCATCGGCATCCCGCGGCCTCTCCCCACCACAGCTGGACATGACAGCATGCGCTCGCCTGTAGAAGACGCACACACCCATGCAAATACACACAACTGCTGCCCTGACCCCGTTGCCATGGCGACCATAGAGCCTTCAACCCATGGGATGTTATCTTACGATGTGAAAAAATGCATATGTGTGTGTTTGCTTGTGTGTGACAGTGACAGAGACCAGACATCCACACAAGTTGCTACTGGCACTGGGCAACTGTCTTGCCCTCTCTGTTTCATCGCCGGTTTTTATCCACCTTTTTTTCTCTCCCTCCCCCCCCATCTTTTTCCTTCTCTCCCTCTGTCTCTCTCGCCCCCTCTCCCTCCAAGCATGAGGAGAATCAATATGTTTTCAATTTGCAGCAGAGCCTTCCTCCTCTGCATCCTAATCAGGCTCCACTGGCCCTTTAACTTCCAGAAGGAAAGAGAGACATTGGAAGAAACAGAGAGAGAGAGAAAGAGAAGAAGAAGAAGAAGAAGAAGAAGAAGAAGAAGAAGAAGAAGAAGTGGGTAAGGACTTCAACCAAAGGACATTTCGGCAGCTACGATGTTCAAGTCAGGATCAGTGGAGCGCGTGCTGAAGAATATCTTTCTGCTGTTTTACTGCAGGCTATATGAAGCCAATAGAAAGCAGAAGTCACATCCGGGTTATTCGCTGTTTCACTAACTTCTGTAACTCACTGCAACCTCTCATTGAAGGTTTCTTTCTTCGGTCTTTCTGAAAGAGTAAAACATTATATGAGTTTACACATTTCCAAGATGAGTATCCATTGCTACAGATGAAGAAAACAATTGTTAGCATTCACAATAACTGCACATCCCATAAAGTTTTACCAACATGGCAGTGTGCATACTGGAAGTCACTACAACTGTTTCTCCTTTATCCAGGATATTCTTCTGAAAACCATCTGCACTGCTCAGCCATGTCCACTCCCATAGCTTGCCACTGGATAGATCTCATGAAGTGAGATGTATGGCAGAGATAGGGAAGATTCCCTTGTTTATGACATGCAAGCACATCAATGAAGAGTTCTTTTTCAATACCGGATAAAAGCTATTCTTAATATGAATAAACCAACACCAGTCTGATTGATACTCCCTGGAGTGCAGAAAAAAAACATGATTTAGGAAAATTAATCAAACGGAGGTATCTGTTTTTGCAAATGAACACTTAAAGGTCCAGTGTGTAACATTTAGGAGGATCTATTGGCAGAAATGGAACATAATTCTCGCAGGCATGTTTTCATTAGTGCATAATCACCTGAAAATAAGAATCGTTCATTTGTTGTGTTTTCATTACCTTCCATGTTTCTACAATAGCCCAGAAGGGACAGACCAAACACTGGCTCTAGAGGGGCCTTTTAGTAGTAGGTCTAGTTTATCCTTTTGCGCTTGAAAGGGGAAGGTGAAGCAAGAGAGTTGCAATCTAAAACCCCTTTAGATGCCACTAAATCCTACATACTGGCCCTTTATGGTTGTATGATTTCAGAGATAATTTGTATGAGGGTTAAAAAATACTCTAAATTGACAATACAGCACTATATACATTGTAGCCTCCCTCCACACACAAATATGTATAATATATATATATATATATATATATATATATATATATATATATATATATATATATACAGTATATATATAAAAGAAATAAGAACATAATAAAACAATAAAATAGGCCATAACATAGAACAAAGTATATAAAAGTAGCAATAAAGGAAGAACATTTAAGTGTATATATAGTAGTCTAGTAGCTAAGGTTTTTCAGGCTCTTCTATATTGTTAAGCACCAAACTTGGAAATGTCATAATTACAATTTAAAAGTTTATGGTATTTACAGCGACTGGTTTTTAAAATAGCTAAATGTTACATACATAACATCTGTCAAGCTCTCAAAAATACAAAACAATACCAATTACCATCCCTGTCTATACAAGATCAACATGACATTAAGATGATAAAGGCTATGTACGAGGACTGGTTTTTTGCATTATTATGAAAGTCAATCTGGTTTTGAAGATGTCCTCTTACTTTTGGACCTTTTGGAAGGCGGCCTTTTTGACCACTACGGCACAGCAATATTTGAATGAGCATGAGGATGCGCACCACTATATTTTCATATCTTTTTACGATTAAAAGCTGTCTGTGTCATGTATTTCTATGTGACATTGTGGTAAATTAGTGGGTGCATTACAACTAAATATCTCCCCTAAGTAACATTTTGTCACTTAGGGGATGTCATATAGATATTCTGTCTTTATTGGCTCCTGTTGCTATTGCCTGCTGTTATGACTAGATTTCTCCACAGGGATCAGTCATTATCATCTTATCCTCTTGTAAGGCAAATAAAGTCATTCATTATATTCTGTCTGAATTGCTTTTAATAATACTATAATCTGGCTCTTTCATTATACTTAAGTCTTTCTACATTCCCCACCCAATGAGGTCAAAGATCAATGACATTACTAAATTGCTCTATAGAGTATGTTATTTTTTATTGTGATACCACCCTCTCCGAGCCTGAGTGACATGGCTGCTATAAATGGCGAGAGCTGTCATAGTGGAAGAAATAAAACACATTTTGAATTTTAATTAACAATGAAAGCTTTGGTTCTTAATTCAAACAAAAATATATCTCCTTGGCACATGAATGTATCTGCACATGCAAAATTAAATAATGAAAAGGTGTATGTAGTCCACTATAATAGAGAAACGGGTTTGAAAGGTTCGAAACATTTACATGCATCAACTTGATACATGCCCATCATTAATTCTGAGAATTTCTTGCCCAACTAAGTCGTGGAAGTTCTCCAACTACCGGTTACAAAATGCAGAAAATAAATTGATGAATTGAAAGGGATTTTTTTTAATTTCCTGATGTAATGAATCCCAAAATAACCAATCCCATTTCGCATCTCTATAGGATATAAAAAGGCCTCTTACTGATGGTGCCACTTCCACTATGACAACACGAAAACTGTAAATAAAGTAATACAGAACAATGACAAACAGGTGACAGAGGATAAGGTGGGTCTTGCATGGGCTGGTGTTGTTGGAAGAGTGTGTCAGCTCAGTATGGTCCATACTCTGAGCACAAGCCAACACAAACCACAGAAAGAGTCAGAAACACACTAACAGAGAGAATCTCCAGCAGGAAGTCAGAAAATGAAGTGGAAAAATTAGGAGAGAGAGAGAGAGAGAGACAGAGAGAGGAAGAAAATGGAAAAGGCTGAGGGTGAAAAAAAAAGTTGAAGAAGGCTTGATTGAGCTCCGGTCTGTCTCTCCCTCTGCTCTCCTCTGCCCCCATTAACACTGACTTCTGAGGAGGGAGGACCGCCTTGGGACCTCCCTCGTTCACCCAGGAGACGAGAGGAGAGAGAAGTTCACCTCTGTTACAGCAGGGTCTGGGAGACAATACCTTGGAGGGCTGAAAATCCACAGCAATTAGCCCGTCTCTCCCTCTCCCTTCATCCTACTCATTCCTGCACTTATCCGCTTATTTAAATTGTACCCATGGCTTAAGGATAGAGGCATACATGTTGTCTGGTGATTCGGTCGTTCACCAACAATCTTGACCTTGAATTTGAGGCTTTTTATAGGTGACTAGTGCCTCATGTTTTTCAGTCTAGAAGTCAAGAGGGTGAGCAATGTGAAAAACAATGTATATATTAGATTGAATTTCATATATTTATTTAATTATATATATTTAATATCATATGTTGCAAAACCAGTTGAACTAATTACAAAATACATGTCATAAAGCTGAAAATGGGGCTATGTTCAC